TTATGTTACCCTAGCAAGCAAGACGTAATGTCACGGGATAATAAAAGATAATACTGATTTCTGATTTCTGGCTACTGGGATCTTCCTAAATCCGATTATGGAAATGTAGTTGTGGGACCAACGGGTGTGTAGATGTTCAAATTTTTTGGCTGCCTTAAAAATCCAAAGTGTGAAAAGTTTTGAGGATCGTGTTTTAGGTGATATTCCGGCGGCTACTCCGGAAGATGTGGAGGTTGCAGTGGCTGCAGCTCGGAGAGCTTTTATTAGGAATAAAGGAGAGGATTGGTCCAAGGCTTCTGGGGCTGTTCGTGCCAAGTATTTGCGAGCTATTGCTGCCAAGGTACTTCATTCAAATTACTTATATTAATTTCAAAAAAGGAAATCTTGTTACTTCATAATCTTGTAAAAAATGTATGAATGTTCTGTAATCTTTTTTTTACTTTTTCTGACAGTTTTTGTCCATGCTTATTATTTAACGTCTGGATCTAGGTAACGGAGAGAAAATCTCAACTAGCAAAACTTGAAGCAATTGATTGTGGAAAACCGCTTGATGAAGCAGCATGGGACATGGTATGATTTTGACCCTTCCTAAATATTATATTTCACCATCTGAATGCTGCTAACGTGTTTGTTCGTGTTGTGAAGGATGATGTTGCAGGATGTTTTGAGTACTATGCAGACCTTGCTGAAGGTTTGGATGCCAAGCAGAAGGCCCCTATTTCTCTTCCTATGGAGACTTTTAAGAGTTATGTTCTTAAGGAGCCTATTGGGGTTGTGGGTCTGATTACGCCATGGTACATACTGCATCTTGACTATTTATGACATTTCATCCCTCCATTAACGTATTGCTTATTCGGGGATATTGCATTTTTCTTTAAACTTATACTATGGTCAGCTTTCCTTATCAATTTGCGCAAGGTGCATTTTGTTTCTTTACAACTAAAGCTTGAACAATGTCCTCTGCTGCTCGACTTTTACAGAGAGCTTTCAGCTTCAGAATAGTCTGAGGTTGATCTTGCTGTTCCTCCTCACAGCCACTTATCTTGTTGTTCCTCCTCACAGCCACTTACCACGGATACTAACATTTCAAAGCTAGCTGCCTTTCAATGTCTTATCAAAATAACATAATGAACCTTATGATTCTTGAACTTCTAAACTTTCCACACTTACAACTTAGTTTAGAAAATCCCCTATTTTCTGAAACTTAATTTGACTTCTCACGTTTTTTCTGAAAAATCTTTGAGTTCTTACAATTATTAGATCTTTTACGAGAAATTATTATGTATAGTTTTTCTATCATATGCAAAAAATTGCTCAGAACTTATGTATTTGGAGCTCATTGGTCAGAATTGGTTTCTTTACTTGCCGAAGAATATAATAGTTGCTTAATAATTTTTTATATGTCGTCTTTTCCCCTAGATTTCAAAATGAAACTAACTGAATTAGTGCCAACTACTTGGAGTAATACTTTGTCATTTTCTATCAAACCCTATACATATAAGTTTTTAGAATAGAAACCTACTAAGAAAAGATGTATTTTACCCTTGTACACTGTAACTTAAGTTACACTTTCTTTAACACTCCTTATCAAGCTGGGAATATATGTTGTTGATACTCAAATTGCTAATAATAACTTGAAATATTGAATTGCTCAAAGTTTTTAGTCAACACGTCTACTAGTTGAGGATTGGTAGATATGTATGAAATACATGTTAGGCTACTGTCAAGTTTTTCCTTGATAAAATATTTTTCGACTTCAATATATTTAGTTCTGTCATCTTACACAGATTGTGTTCAATTTTATGACTGACTTGCTCTCAAGGAAGGTATAGTATGTTGTAGTAGATCATTTGTCGACAGTTGACTGTGTACAATCCGCATCCGTATAGGCCTGAAAAATCCAAATGAACACTAATTCTTCCCTTTTCTACTTATTGTCAATGATGGCTTTAAGAGTTCATTAGAGAGCGCCATTGAATCTTATTAACAGAAAAGAGAATTAAAAGTGCTAAATACCAAGTAAGCATCTTGTTTTGGTAACGACTAATTCTAAATAGTTTTACATCTGTAGGCTCTTCTTCAAACGTATTCGAACTGTCTATATCCTATTATATAAAAAAACAACCAAAACAGTTATTTGATTACATAAATCCAAGACAACATAATTAAATAAAAGTTAAAGAAAGCCAGAAATGATAAATCATGTTGATTTCTTCCCTTGAACCCTCCTTTGACGCTGGTGAACCAGTGCAAACTCCCTTTTTACTGATTTATAACATGTACTTACTAAATTGTCCTCTTTCTTAAATTTCTTCCCTGGTCTAACTATATGCGGTTTGGAACATTTGATCTTAACCGGTTTTGGATGTTGAAATGATGTTGGCATCTTTTATCTTTGTCAACATTATGTATGTGATTTTGCTGAATTTTCTGCTTTTCCTTTTTGTTGAAGGAATTACCCCTTGTTGATGGCCACATGGAAAGTGGCTCCTGCCCTTGCTGCTGGATGCACTGCAATACTAAAGCCATCTGAATTGGCATCTATGTATGTAAATTTATGTTAACTTGCTTTTTACATCACTTTTGCTATTGATGTGAAGTTGCATGCTCATTATGTTTTCACTTTCAGGACCTGTTTGGAGCTTGCTGATATTTGTCGAGAGGTGGGTCTTCCTCCTGGTGTTCTCAATATTCTGACTGGATTGGGCCCTGAAGCAGGTGCATCTTTGGCTTCTCATCCCGATGTCGCCAAGGTCAAAATTCTTTCTTTGCCATCTTCCATTATGAAGATAAACCTTAATACCTATTTGGAAATATTTTTATCTCAATATCTTTGTTTAAATAATCATAGTTGCTATAGCAGCTAACATGTTAGTTCTTAGCAGATTGCATTCACTGGAAGCTCAGCCACAGGCAGCAAGGTAATGACTGCTGCAGCTCAATTGGTGAAGGTAGGTTAAAAATACTAATTTTTTTTCCTTCTCTCTGCCCTTCTTTTCTTGATCAAATATGGTATGTGCATGATACATTGTGTGTTGTTTTGTGGTAGCCCGTCTCTTTAGAACTTGGTGGAAAAAGCCCAATTGTTGTTTTTGATGATATTGATCTTGATATTGGTGAGTGCTTTCTGATTCTCTGAAGTTCTATTTTAAGCATTGAACTGCCTTATGTCTCAGAAATTTGAATAACCTTTTAAAAAACAAATTTGTTCATACACTTCCACTCATGTTGCACCAGTCATATCAAAAAGTTAAGCACTTATCTATCCAGTTGTTTTTCTAGTTATATTTTTTTTTGAAATTTATGTTGGAACAGCTGCCGAATGGATCCTCTTTGGCTGCTTCTGGACAAATGGTCAGATTTGCAGTGCAACATCCCGTCTAATTGTGCATGTAAGCATGTAGTTAAAATTATCCATATTTTATTATGTACTTCTGCTTGACTTTAGTTCTTTCCTTGATGTAGGACAAATTTGGGGTAATTTGCCTACTAAGAAGTTGGGAAAAAAAACCTAGATATCACGTCTTGGGTTTTGATGCACCACACGTAAGGGTTGATTGAATCACACAATCAATTATGAGAAAGTTTCAAAAAATTATTATTGAATACTTGGATGATTAATAAGTGAAATTATAAAATTATTTATAGTAATCTCTAAGTAACTTGTTTAAACTAGAATTGAAGTAGGAAAGAGTACTCCAATAGAATTAAGAATGCTAATCCTAATACAACTACATAATAATACAAGTAAAAATAAATTCCTAGCTCTAATAAGAGTATTAAATAGTAAGCTAAAAATATTCCAACAATAAATAAAATCGGGAGTGGGGTGGGGGGGGGGGGGGGAGGAGGAGGTGTGGAAAACTCGGCTCCATTAACTTGAAATTATAGAATGTGGCATGCATGACAAGGTGTGGAAAACTCAGCTCCATTGAGTTGGAATCGTAGAATGTGGCATGCATGACAAGGTCTAGCCTCATTTCTGTGATCCAATTGCAATCAATTTGAGGACATCCTTTTCATTTTACTAGAAAATTGTGATAAATACCATTCCTTGTTGCTAACAATATCTTTAATCTTTTCTTTGATATTTGCATTATCTGATGAGCGATTAGTATTCTATCATGAGAAACTGTAAGGTCACCTCCTTGATATGAAGGTCCTCAATATTGAATACCTTACTTATACTCATATCTTCTACTAAATCAATAACGTAAGCATTTGAACTAATCTTCTTGAGAAGACCACTGTTTTTGGAATGAAGTTTCTTGTAGACACCCTTAAGAAACCTTTCGGATTTTAGGCGTACCATAACCATATCTCCCTCATTAAAGTCAGCAAGTTTTCTTTTTATATCAACAAAAGCTTTATATGCTTAATTACTTAAAATAATTCTATTCGTCTAACTTCTGCATTTTATGTCACATAAATGTTTAGCAAAATCTTGTCTCAATGGTAAGATGAGCATTCAATGGGGAAGGAACCAAATTAATAAGTTTCCTTAGTTGTATACCCATAAAGCATTCAAAAAGACCGATTCTGTGCTTCGACTTACTAAACTATTGTTAGCAAATTCCCCAACTGAAAGAACAAGATCCCAATTGGTAACATGATCACGCGCACAACACCAAATTAGGTTTCCCAAGCTCATGTTAATAACTTAAGTTTGTCTATCAGTTTGTGGATGAAAAAGTGTAGAATATTTTAGTTAAGTATGCTACATCTTCCACAAGGTATGCCAAAAGTAACTTACAAATTTTGTATCACGATCAGAAATAATGGACTTAGGGTAGCCCATGTAAGGGAACTACTTCTATGAAGAACAGTTTGACCATATGAGAAGCATCAAACATCTTCGCACATGGTGTGAAATGAGTCATTTTAGAAAACTTATGTACTACCACAAATATTGAATAGTGGCTCCTTTGTTTTTGGCAACCCAAGCACAAAGTCCATGCTTATATCTGCCCGTGGCTCATGGAGTTCAGGTAGTGGTGTGTATAGACCAGTATTATGCTTCTTTCCTTTGTAGATTTGAAAGATACAATATCTATCAACTGTTCGAGCCACATCTCTTTTTATGCTTGGTTAATAAAATCGATATTTCACCATAGAAATTGTTTTATCTCCTAGCCTTAACTCGGATTTAATAATATTATTCTTCAAATCTATCTTATAAAAATATGCCGAGCCTGTCATGAGATCTAACATAATCATTAAGAAAAGGTATGGGGAATCTATACTTGATGGTAATCTTGTTGATTGCGCAGCTATCAACAACATCTTTTAGGTCCTGTCGTTCTTGAATGTGAATAATGCTATCATAGACTTATTGGAGGGTCCCATTGGCATGCATCTAGTAGGAACAACCTATGAATTTGCCAATTATGAGTTGGACACTTTAACCATTTAGTCATAGATGCTTACGGGGATCATCAAGCACATGGGCTTAAACTTTCTTGTATAAACCTTTTAGATATTAATTTGTCAACTTATTGTTTAAGCTCAACATGTTCACTTGGATTCATACGGTATGCTGGTAAGTTAGCAATTGAGGTCCCGAAAACTAAAGTCAACCCCATGTTGAATGCTACAAAATGAAGTCAGTCCATTTGGCAAATCTAGTGGAGCAATATCAGAAAAGTTAGGCAGTAGGCTAGTCACTTTTGTTGTTGTTGTTTTTTATTAAACAAGTTATTGGTTCTTTTACACCCTGACTTACTAGAGCATAAACAATTTTTTATTCTTTACCTTCTGCTTCAAACTGCTTTCTTGACAAAAGATGAAGTTCTTTCTTGTAACCAGCTATTGCAATTTTTACAGCCTTTTTGGTTTTGAAGTTTCTGATATCTTTTGTGCTCATGGATTCCAGGAGAACATCTCTTTTTTCCATGGAAAAAGAATATGTATTTCCTTCCATTACGGTGTCCGTTACAATAATATAGCTAAGAGCAACCAAGAAGAATATGAGTTACTTGCATGGGGACAACATCACATTAGATGGCATCTTTGTATTTACTACTTTGGAAGAGACAATACATTATTGAGCTACCAATGTTGTTGTTCGCCAATCTATGCTACTTTGTATGGTTGTGGTTATAGTTTTGTTGAAAATTTGAGACGCTCTAAGGTCGAAGCCGACACTAATTCATGCAATTTCCCTCGTCGATGACAAGCTTTTTGGCTTTTGGTCCACAAATAACAAGGGTTGAAATGTAGTAGTACAACATCAATCTTCTTTAATAGAATTTTACATTACTTCCAATCTAGTATTAAGTCTGAAATGTCTCAAATTTAATATTTAATTCAGCTTTAGTCACCATTGGTGAAGCTAAATGTCTATTTAAAAGTGAGGTAAGAATGATCATAGAAGCTAAAACAAAACAGAATGCACAGGGCTTACTTGCGACTGGCCACGCATGGGCTTCATGCAGCAGTGATATGGCAGATGGCTCAATTGGAGGTGTTAAACTTAGATTTGAGACTAGTGTAGGACACAACGTTGTAGAAGTGCAGTTCCGCAAGAGGTAATGATTGTAGGAGCTTCTGCAGGCAAGTGGCAGTCTTGTGGAGTTCTGCAACAGGAATATGGGGTTTGGTTGATTGAGTTTTTTTGGAGCTAGTGATGGTGGCAATGTCAACCGCGTCTAGCAAGTGATTGGCGGGCAGCTCACTTTGTGGCTGATTGCACGTGGGTTTTACGCGTCGGCTTCTAGTCACCAGATGGTGATGACCATTTGGCAGGTGACTCAATTGGAGATGCTGAACTCGGATTTGAGACTAGTGTAGGACATGATGGTCCTTGAAATGTGGATTCGCATGAGGCAGCTGCTGTGGTAGCTTCTGCTAGTAAGTGTAGGGGTTCCCGTGGAGTTTTATGGTGGGGCGTTGGGGGTCAGTCAATCGGGCCTTTCTGGAACTGGTGGTGGTAGCAGTATTGACCACCTCCAGCATGTAATTGGCAAACATTTCAACTCGTGGTTGGCCGCGTGTGGGCTTCATTCACCTACTTTCGGTGACTAGACGGGAGCCGCCATTTGGCAAACGACTCAACCAAGGGTGCCAAACTCATATTTGAGGTTGGTGTAGGACTCAATGGTATTGAAGTGCAGATTCACGAGAGACAACATGATGCAGAACCCGAGGATCAAAGAAACCCACATCCTCATCACAACGGCTTTAGGAGCTTCTACTAAGGAGTATGGTAGTTTTCAATGGAGTTTTGCGGTGGGGCTTTAGGGTTGGTCGATCGACCTTTGTCAAGACCTGCTGGTGGTGGTACTGATGACAATCTCAACAAGGTGAATG